ATAATAATAATAATAAAATAATTAAAAAAAAAAGAGTCCCAGATTGGGGCAAGTGACTAAGGCCTTGGCTACCAGCCAAAACGGTGGCAGTGTGAACCGACCCAGAGCCCCCTGCCAATCTACCTGTGTCAAGTTCACAGGCAAGACAACTCCGTGGAATAGTTCTAATCCTAGACATGGGGGTCAGAACCCACTCATACAACCAATACGGCAGTTGCTATTCAGTTAATTTTATCTTAAAAAAGTGCAAAGAAAACAAAACCAAACCCACATTAGATCTCAAGGCCCACCCCCCACCTGGTGCTGGAACTACATCAGGGCTGCCTAAGGCCTGAGAGCAAACCCACACTCCCAGCCTTGGCTGTGACCTTGACCCCTAGTCCTGCACTTGTTCTCAAGCCACCACATGGGGACCCTGCATTGATGCTGCTTCCAGCCCTTAGCCTTCTCCTCACTTCCCCCCAGCAGCCTGCCCCTCTCAGCCTTGACCACTGGCTGCCATTTCACTTGCTGTCCCTGGTCCTGGAGGTGCCCTCAGGACTCCTGCAAGGCAGACTCAGGTCCAGGGGACCCTTCTCCCTGTGTGAGGCCTCTGGGGTGGGGGGATGGACAGGGAGTTGGACCAAACACCCTCCACTCACATGTGGCAGGAACTCCACAGAAGATTCACTGCCAAAAATAAATGTGACCAAGGGGGTGACAGTGCAGCTATAGTGGGGAGGATGGGGCGCAGGGGGTTGGAGAGGAGACACCAGCTCCTCTATGTGCCAAGTCCTGAGTGGAAACACCACACTTGTCCCCACCCCTAACCAGGTGTCTCCATTTCAAGGAGGTCAATGACACAGAACAGGGGATTGTCTGTGCGGGGTGGGGTGGCCTGGCAATGGACATCAAAGGTCATGGAAGGATGGTGTTTACAAGGTCCCCTGATCCCAGTTCTAAAAGAACCTATGATCTCCAGAAGACCACGCAGAAGGCCTCACCCCAGGACCTGTGAGGGTGAACTGCGGGGAGAGGTGGGGTTCTGCTCTGTTATCAGTTAAGGAAGTCACGGTGTGTGTGTGTGTGTGTCTGTGTGTGTGTGTGTGTGCGTGCGCGCTAATTCTTATCTCTTGAGTGGGGTCTTAGAGAAGGGGCAAATGGGCCCCTGTGAGACCAGACCCCGGTGTCATCTGACTCCCTCCTCCCCAGCCCTGACCCCAGCCTGCCAAGTCCCCTGTCCTGATCTTAAACCTCAGCCAGGGGTCTTGCAGCCGCCATCATCATCATCATCATCGTCAGATCCTGCCTCTTCTCTGTTCTCAGCCCTGGTAAAATCAAACACTTACCAAGGCGCCATGAGACCCAAGTGGTAGCCCTTTTGTGGGGCCTGACTCACAGGGGATGTATGGCCCTTGATCCACCAGATCCTCCCTGGACCCAGAGTTGGTCCATCAAAGTCAAGTCTGCCTGTCCATATATCCCAGCTGCCTCCAGGAGCTCATGCAGAAGTCACCTTCAGACACACCCTTCCTGCTGTCTCCCTCCAGCCTCCCCCTCACTCTTTCAACATGACTTTCACTCTATTCAGGCCTCAGGCAAGGATTTCTGTGTCTGGTATACCATAAACCAATTAAAATCTAAAGCTTATGTGACAGCAATAGTGTCAGAGGTCCATCCAGGCTCCACTGCTTCAGAGAGCCTGGAGTGGGTGAAAAGTTGAAATTCTGTTCCACATTTTCTCTTTGATCAGAATTCTTCTACAGTCTTTGATCAAAATGTTCAGCAAGGGACCACGTGCCTAAGAGAGGGTGGCCACGCCTTCGGGAGGGGTAAGGACTTTTCCAGGACCCACAGGAGCTGGGGATCCAGCCATGGTCACTTTGCCCCCCTCTGAAGTAGCTCTGCCTTGCCCTTTGCCCAACTGCCAGCACCTTCTGCGCCCCAGTTCCACCTGGGTACTTTGGATCAGCCAGGACTAATGGCACAGATGCCTTCTGAGGCCATGGGGCATGTTGCAGACAGTACTCTGAACAGAGCTTTCAGGGAGGAAGCTCGGAGCTTGCCCAGCATGCCACCCAGCTCCCACCTGCACCCCCACAACCACAGTAGCTGGTGGAGCTTTGTGACTGTAAGATCAGGCAGTTACTGGACTGCTCGACCACTCAGTAACTGGCCCTGTGTGAGGGCTTCAGAATGGAGGCCTGGATGCAGTACAATCATGGCCTGAGCACCCTGCCCGGAGGAGGAATACTGACCATGTTGTCAGCTTGTAACCTGGACTCTGTAACGGGGACTCGAGTGAGGAGGGGTTAGCCCCCAACAGAGGGCCCGAGACACAAATGTACAATTAAAAGATCTGATCACAGACAACATACAGATAAAAAAACCCCAAAGCCAAAAACCCACAAAGTGTTCGGTAACAGTAGGCATTCTCCTGGCCTCAGGCTAAAGGAGGAAGTTTTTCAAGGAGGCAATCAGGCACAAGTTCCATATCCTCCTGCAATTCCCACACTCTTTTATCTTCTTTTGTTCCAGGCACTAATTGTGCCTTAGATGGCTACCCTTGGGCTCTTGAGACCCTAGACAATAGAACAGAACCGCTAAGCAGATTATTAAGACCCATGAAACTACAGCCCTAACCTTCCATAACAAGAATCCAGTCCCAGGAGGTGTAGGTTGTACCCACTTGGGCTTAGAAATGACTTGACTTTATTATGCAAAATGGGTGACCCTGGATGACATTATGCTGAGTGAAATATCTCAGTCACAAAAGGACAAATATTGCATAGGGCCACTGTTGTAAAAAACGGGACTGACATCGGAGTTGAGGGAAGACAGAGAAGGCGGGAGGAAAGATGTACACTGCATTGAAACAGATGAAGGAGAGAACTGTTTAAAAGGGATATATGATTGGGTATTATTGTCATGACAGGAGTCCAGAATGAAGGCTGCACAGTGGAGTGGACTTGGGGGAGGGATTGCATAGCAATGAGTTTTACTTTTACTTTTCAAGGAGAAGAGTGAATGGGGGGGGGGCAGGAAGAAAAGTGCAACAATGAATGAATAGAAATCCCAAGACTTTGTAAACTTTCATTAAAATTAATCAAAAAAAAGGAAAGAAATTACTTTCCTTTCCCCCTCACTGTTGTAACTATATATCACACAACTTTTGCCAACTCAACTCACAAGCATACAACTTTTCTTGCAGCAATTATAATGACCGGCTATTTGAGCTCACCTTTAATCAAGGCTATCACTAACTCCCCTCCCCAACTCCCATCAACTACTGATAACCGACCACTAACAAATTTTGGCCTTTATGTGCTTGCCTTATCTTATCTTTTCACAGAGGTGAAGTACTACAATATCTGTCCTTTCACAACTGGCTGATTCTGATAGGCATAATGGCTTCCATCTGCATCCCTACAGATAGCAGACTTGACAGCCCAGGTGGATGCACCACAGCTGATTGCACCTATGTGGACTTGGATCCTATGGCCATAGAAGTGTCCATAGCTGATCGTTGTGAAGCAGATTGCCAGGTCATTCTTCCAGGTGCCTCTGCGTGAACACCAATCACCAACCTTTCAGTTAGCACCCTTTGCACCCATCATCCAGAGACTCACCCTGGCACCTAGCAGCCACTCGATAATTACGCTGTAATAAACCAGTAATGTGAGAAAGTTCACAAGAGAGAAGCTCACAGGGAGAAGCCAGAGACACTGGGGCACCCGGAACGTAAGCAGGGCTCAGTTGAGCCACACAAAGGCAAACTGAGTAACAGAGATTTGAAGGTTAGGTGCTGTTTAGGGTAACTGAATAAGCCTGGGACCCCATAGTGTAGGGGCTCCATGCAAGCTCTTCCAGGGTTGTAACTCGGTAATCACAGAAGTCTCCCAGCTAGAACACATGCACTGTGACCTCAGACACCCTAAAATACCATTCACATGGATCTCTGACTGATAATCAGGGTTCAGAACAGGAACAAGGACACATCTTCCCATCACAGATGGTGACGTATCCCCAGCCCCCTCCACTTCTTGAACAAAAACAGGTTACCCAGAGTCCAGGCACTTACGACCCCCACTTCTAACCTCACTAGGAGGCTCTGCCTCCAGAACATGCCACAGCTGACTACTTCTCTCTGTCCTTCTCAACCCAGTTCCTGGCTTCCTGCCTAGGCCCCGATTCTCTTTCACCCTGAGACGCTCCCACCTGCTCCGAAGCAGCCAAAGGGAACTTTATAAACCTAGAAAAATCCCACCACACCCATGCTCACTTAATCTTACCCCATTCAGGATGTAACGATCTTGGTCACCTCCTTTCTCTCACCCTCTCACACCAATACAAGCGGTGTTTCAGGCCTTCGCCTGTGCTCTTTCTGCCACCTGGTCCCGCACCTGAGTAATCAAGGGGGGGCCCACCTCCTCCAGGACACCCCCCTCACAGAGCGCCTACCGTAGAAGACAGAGGGCGGGTCGTGGAAGAAGGGGTAGTCAGTGCCGAAGAGCAGGTAGGCGCTGTAGCTCCAGGCACCGAGATAAAAGAGAAACTTCCAGGCGCTCTCGGGCATCTTGGCTGCATCTCTGGGCTGGAGGCGGCATCGCTTGGCCAGGGGCTACGAGTGAGAGGGTAGGCAGTGGGTGCTAGGGGCCACTTATCCAGGGCAGGGAAACTGAGGGTGGATGTAGACTCCTGGGATTGGGCATCGTCAGGGCAGATAGAAAGGGCCCCTGTGCCCACAGCTGCCCCAATGTAACCGGAGCCAGCATATGAACGCCAAGGACTAAAGTTAGTGCCCAGCTGTCCGAGCACTGCACAGCCGGGGCAGAGGGCATGGGGGCTGCAGGGGGCTTGTACAATGGATGAAGTTGGGGACAGCAGGATGGGGTCGTGGAGCTGGAGGGGTGCAGAGAGAGTTGGAGCATGATGGGAAAATGTAAAAAGCAGCATGAGGGGACTGTGGGAACAGCTCCAGGAAGGAGGCATGCGGAAGAACATCGGGGCATTAGGGTAACATGGGCGGCTGAAAACCCAAGAAATGTTCATGAAGGAGCAGGGGGTGGGATGGGGGAGGGGGGAGAAGAAGGAAGCAACTCCGAGTGGGAAGTGGAGGGGCCCAGAGAAGAATGGGAGAACCTAAGATAGATGGGGTGGAAAGATGGGGGCCCATGGGACTTAGGGAGGAAATGGGGCTGAAAGGAGAAAGGGAGGAGGGAGCAGGGGAAGGTATCACAGCTGAGATATGTGAGCTGAGATATGGGACTTGAGATGACATCAGAGGGGGGCAGGTGGGTCAGGTAGGTTAGAGGAATTTGGGGGACTCTGCTGTACACTAAGGGGATCTGGTGCCCCCTTCACTCTCTTGGGGGTGGGGCTCCAGAACTGCTTTGAGAGCCCAGGCCCAACTGAGGGGGCTGAAGCCCAGAGTAGTTGCCATAGAGACAACTAGAGCCGGGCTCTGGTAACCCCTGGCAACCGGGCTGCTGCCAAGAAGATGCGTTTTGAAGGCCAGGGCAGCCCCTCCACCCTATTTCCTGGGAAGGGTGAGTCCTTAACTGGGGCACGAGCCCCACCAGGCTGACAGCCAGGGAGGCTGGGGTGGAAGCCCGGCCTGGGGTCTCTGTGAGAGGGGGACGGACCTCCACACTTGGCAATCCTGAGGGTGCATACATGCTCTCGAAGGCCCTTGGTCTACTTCCCAGCAAGATGGGGAAGTGGTGGTGAGGAGGGACAAAGACAGATGGAGGCCAGTGTTGATGTACGGAAGGCAGGCCTCTTCACGCTCGGCCTCCCTATTTCCAAGAGCAGGGTGCTGGGCCATAGCTCTCTGTGCGTGATGTGGGTGACAAGTGGGTGGGGGTGGGGACAACAGCCCACTCTCTCAACCTAACAAGGCCCAGTCTCTCGCGGGCCTGAAGAGAAAGGCCCCTTTGTTGGCGCCTGGAACTCTGTCCCTGCACCCTTGCCAGACTAAGGCGGGGTGGCTGCTCTGTCCCAGGCAGCAGCCTTTCCACTCAGCTCTGGCAGCAGAGACCCCTCCCCAGGGAAGGGAGGTGGTGAGCCAGGGTTTCCTCCACGGTCAACCCGAGGTAGAAAAAGGACCTTCCAGGATCCCATAACGCTGGGCAGAACAAGTGCAGCCCCTCCCCAGCCCCTGCCCGGGAGGGGTCCTGGAGATACAGCTGTCCAACCCGAAGCCCCTCCGCTCTTCTCCTTTGCCGCCGCTGGTCAGACGGTGGCGCTAGCCCCAGGCAGCGCAGGCAGTGACCGGACAACCGAGCCTCTTCCCTGTCACCGAATCCGAGCAGCAGGCCGCCCCGCCCCGCAGCCACCAGAGCTCTGTTCCAAGGGCGCCCGCATCGCCTGCATCGAGCCTTTTTCACCGCCCTGCGCCCCTGACTAGCTGGGCCCTGCCCGGAGGGGCGCGTGCCCGACTAGGACCCCGCAGTGTCAGTGACGTTGTGCGCTCGGTTACCCTAGGTCCCGATTCATTGAACCAAATAGGGCACTCATTATCCGCGCCCAGGATTCCATAGACGCGCTCTTTCTAAAGGGATGCATGTGTGGCGGTCGGGGGTTCCGTTGTTTGGGGGCCCTCACATTCTGACCTCTCCAGTTCCAGGCCTCGTCCAGGGCCCCCGCCACACTCACCTGAAAAAAGGCGCGCAGTGGCCCGAAGAATCCCCTTCTTTCCCTGTCCTCGGTCCCGTCGCTCTCACCCAAAAGAGGCACACAGTGGCCCAGGGTCTCCCAGTCCCGCGCCCCCTGCACTCACCCGAAAGAGGCGTGTGGTGGCCACTGCCCGCAGTGCTGTCCAGCCGATCGCGCCGAGCGCCAGCAGCAGCAGCTCTGGTGGCGCCAGATGCGCGTGCTCCGCCAGGCCGCGGCGCGCCAGCCCCCAGCCGCAGTCCCCGCAGTCCCGCGCCGCGGCCAGCGCGCTGCCCC